ATTTATGATAGTGATGCTGGGAGGGAAGAACCTCCCAGAGTATGATAAATATAGTCGCGATGCTTTCACGGCTGATATCAAAGATTTCATGGAAATAGCGGAAGAGACTAAAGTTGAATGTGAGGAGTGGAGATCCTCCATGAAAGATAGTCGAGATTATGTGATAATCTTAGCGAAGGACCACAGCGCGAGAATCGATGCCTATGATGTCGATTCTTTTAGGGAACGCTACGCGCGAAAATGGAATATGCCCTCTCGTGAAGATTCGTTCTCCGATCCGGGGTCGATGTCTGGATGGTTTGACATTAACGGTTGGCATGCATCTCTAGAAGACATGCCACTAGATTTGATGTTAAGTGATTACGATGACCACTCTCCCGCATTGTACACGATGTGTCTCCCGTTTGAAGGGCTTTCCCCTAGTGTAGAAAGAGACTATTTGCGAAGATATTATATTCGCGGGAAATTTTCTAGTTCTATGAGATACAAGAAACACGATGGAGGTGAATTCACGGAAGCCGAGTACCAGCGATGGCGCAAGGTTAGTGGTATACGCTATTAAAGAGGCATTCACCATTCTGAACATTACATGCGGGCCGACGGCGACTTGCCGGACACGTGATTCGGACGTGGCATACCAAACAGACTCATAAGAGCAACTGGCCAACTTTCTTGCAGCATATCGCAAGCGCGTTATCGTGCGAACGACAGAGGAATTTCCGTACAAATTGGCAAGGTCTCTCTCTCTCTCCTTCACCGGTCCTTCCCCTTTTTCCCCGTTACAAATTGGCGCCCAACGAATAACCCACGACCCCACTCACACGCCCTTTACCCCGATCTACAATTAGAAGAAAAATCGACAATACAAATACACATATACAGAATATTAAGCTAGACAGACAGGAACAAAGGAATAGAAGTAAGAATTTTAGATAATAAAATAATACAGACACATAAGAAGTAAAACGAAAATTCACATTCAGAGACAATACAGAGGAATAGAAATAGAAGAATATAGATTAGAAGAATAGATAAAGATATAATAGAATACAAGAGATAGAATAGTACATTATAGGGAAATAGATGATTAGAGGAATTAAGGAATAGAAAAAAAAAAGGGGGAACCACTAATATAACAATCGCATTCATCTTAAATAGTATAAGCAGGAACACATAGGTTTATAAATTCTAAAACGTGTAACCCCTTCGGATACGATCGAAATATTACGCGATTTGAGAATGTCGACGACGGACAGATATGAGACAGAACGCACAGAACAAACAGTACAGGACGACGCAAGGTCACAGCGACACAACAGCCCGGTCCGATCCGAGACGTCGGTTACGATCGACCTACCTGAGGACCTACTGACAGAAGGAAACATATACACACACAACGCCACCGCATCGAATTACGAAACACATACACACAACCCCAATACGAACGAACGACGCGAAACAGAAGACTTGGAAAGGAAAATACACTTATTACAAGACACTTTACATAAATATACCACTGATTTACACAACATACAAATAAGACAACATAGACGACGAACTCTCATCCCTGCACAATTAGAGCCGCTCCAAATACAAGAACCAGACAACCCCATAGAGCCACGAAACAGAACATCCACTCACACCACACAATATACACACACACACACCCAAACAACACCCCCCCCCCACAACTTAACACTTACATACCACATGACACACCACCAAGACCAAACCAACATACGGACACACAACCTAACACGTACATACCACATAACACCCCACCTACAATAAACCAACAAATTCTCAACTTTTATAGACGTTTCGTAAAGACAGCGGCCAATGTCCAGGCCCCATTGAACAACTTAGTGAATGATTCTAAGAAGAACGACAAACGACCGTTACCGTGGACCACGGAGACCGAGCAGGCTTTCGAACTGTGCAAGGCAAGCCTGGCGAACGCAACCCTCCTCGTCCACCCACGTGAAAGCGCAGATCTCTTGCGGACGACCGACGCTTCAGACGTAGCAGTAGGAGCATCACTGGAACAACTACACACAAACGGTACCTGGCACCCACTCAGGTTCTTTTCCAAAAAATTGAGCCCAACACAACAACGGTACAGTACGTATGACCGCGAACTACTCGCAATCTACTCAACAATCCATTTCTTCAAACATATGCTGGAAGCCAAACATTTTGTGGTACGAACAGACCACAAGCCTCTTACGTACGCATTTACCCAAAAACCAGAGAAAGCATCACCTCGACAACTAAGGCACTTAGATTATATATCACAATTCACAACAGAAATAATCTATCTGGCGGGATCTGAAAACACGGTAGCAGACGCTTTCTCAAGACTGGAACAAATCAATATGCCAGTCATCGTGACTACCCAACAACTTCAGGAAACCCAGGAGGAGGACGAGGAACTCCGGCAACTCCTGCGGTCAAACACGACTGTCATACTTCAGAAACTGACACTCGACAAAGAAGGAACAATATACTGCGACGTCTCGACCGGAAATATACGACCATACGTACCCGGTAAGCTACGCAAGCAAATATTTCAAGCTGTCCATGGCCTTTCACATGCGGGCGGACGATCAACGTGCCGAAGCTGTCCGTCAGAAATTCGTGTGGCCAGGGATTAAAAAAGACATCCTTCAGTGGGCAAGATCCTGCGTACCGTGCCAACGCTCCAAAATACAGAGGCATACAAGGAACGCACCAGGACGATTCGCTCCAACATACGGGAGGTTTGAACACGTACACCTGGACATAGTCGGGCCGTTGCCCCCGGTCCAGGGATACAAATACTTGCTCACAATGATCGATCGCTTCACTAGGTGGCCAGAAGCAGTCCCTTTAAAAGACATTAGCGCTGACACTGTAGCAACAGCATTTTACACGAGCTGGGTAGCTCGCTTCGGTTCTCCTCGAACACTCACCACGGACCAGGGAGCACAATTCGAGGCACTGCTATTCCGAGCTTTGACTTACCTGGTGGGAGCCCAGAGAACTCGTAGCTCACCCTATCACCCAGCTGCCAACGGCATGCTCGAACGCTGGCATCGGTCGCTCAAAGCGGCACTAATGTGTCACGGGTCGACACCGTGGGTAGAACTATTGCCCACCGTCCTGCTGGGACCGAGAACATGCTACAAAGAGGACCTCAAAGCATCAGCAGCCGAGATGGTCTACGGCACACCACTCAGAGTTCCCGGGGAATTTTTCACCAGCGAAGACATAAACTCCAATCCACAAATATTTGTTGAGAAGTTCAGGGAACATATGAGAAAACTGCGCGCCACGCCAGCAGCCCACCATGCCAAGAGAAGTATCTTTGCACACAAAGACCTTTTCTCGTGTTCACATGTTTTTATCAGGGACGAGACCGTTCGCAAGCCGTTGGAGCCACCCTACCTAGGACCTTTCAAGGTAGTGGAACACATAAACGAACGATTATTCAAGATTAACATTGACGGAGAGGAGAAAAACATTTCCACAGAGCGGCTGAAACCAGCACATTTAGTCAACCAAGATGCTTTAGCGGAGCCAAGCTCGGAACCAAGCGCCAGTAGCGGCACTGCAAGGCCAGAGGCATCGCTGAAAACCTACGCACGCATCAAGAAGACAGTATCGTTCGTAACCACCTCACTCGGGGGGGAGTACTGTGGCGGGCCCGGGACGAAGTCCGGCCATCGACCACCAGGGGCGTCGCGCGTCGAGCGCGATGCGATCAGGACGGAGTAAACTGCGTTACCCCGTGTGCACATTACTTTACTTACCTCGAACCAAAAGACGACTACGTCGGAAAATGTTTACAAAACGGTTGAAAATCGGAGAGAAGACTTTGTGACCAATTCTAGAGCGCACGTGGAAATCCGCTCCTTTTGCTATGTTAATAAAGCAATAACTATAAATAAAGTGGTGAAATATATTTGACAATCCCCACAAGTGCGTGAGTCCCTGTCAGAAATTTGTTGCGCCGCCCTTGGGCGCAAAAAACGGTGAAAGCTCACGTACAAAACCAGAGGGCAGCACACGACGCGATCGCACGACCCTGCCCGTGAGCAATCTCCCAACTCATCTCTGGGTAAAAGGTTAGCTCGAACGTGAACAAGTCCCGGAAACTTTGAGGTTAGTTCGCGAAAGGTATGTACATTAGTGGGAAAGATTGGACAAGTAAAATCCCCTATGTAATTTACCCAGTTATTTTATAGTAAATTACTAGGTGTTTTTTATTTTTACAAATATCCTTTAATATCTTTTAATATTTCTTACCAGCAAGTTCAACAAGCTGCGCAACGATGAACTTGAAAAAAAAATGGAGCTTGTTAAGTGATCCACCTAAACCTGAAAAGGGGCACAAAAGAACATGCGAAACAGAACATAGAAAAAAATGCAGGATGTCCGAGATTAGACGGCGAATAAATTACTAAAAGTCAAGAATATTAATTGGACTTGTGTATCTAATAAATGTAAATATATGTAATGTATCTAATAAATGTAAATAAATGTAATCGATGTGTATTTTAAATGCGCAGAGTGCTCTGAAAAGGAATTAGAGTAGAGTGAGTGAAGTTCAAATTAAATTAAGCTAACGGAGACAAGAAATACCGATCGAACGATGGTTACGGAGATCAAAGTGTCTCCTTATATTGTTATAAGCGATTAAATGAATATGTAAAGTGCAAAGCATTTCTCGGAGCATCGATCTCTTAACATACGAATTTAATTATTTAGTAGTGCTTTTGCTTTTCGTTCCGACACTAATTCCAAATTATCAGTTTTTATCGGTCATAGCGCTTTATTCTGACTACTATAAGTAAGCCAGATTGTAAATAACACAAACTTATGTCATAGCATTCGTGTTGCTACTGTCAAATCGAAAGACTGGTTAGGACCCTGCGGTGCAAAATTAGACTCCCGGACGGAGGGGTCTACTTCTTCGGAACATTTTAAAAATCGAGAAGTTCAAAGTTGACAATACCATACACATTTTAAATATATAACTAATATATACAGAATAAAGAAAAGGTCTGTACATCCATATAAAGACTTACGTTGGGTAGAAATTTTAGAATTATAGACTTATCACCAAAAGCCTTTATCAATGTGCACATTAAAGATATTTGACGTAACATAATTAACTTTGTTACGCAAGTACCTTTAATGTGTATGTATATAAATATATATATATTTTTGTACAGATGTATTTTTCTAACGTAATACTTGGTACGATGTAAGACACGTCTAAATCTATTTGTTCTTTTCTTTTTTTATATTTTTAAACGGACAAGTTTAAGGTGTTCCGTGCCAAACGGAGGGCAACATTTTATTACCACGACGTGTATTAAATAAATAAGTGGAAGTCTACCGAACTGAACAGAAATGTGAGATTTTCTATCGAAATGGTCGTTTGTAATAACAAACGAGTTAATGAACTATGTCAGTAAAGTATTAATCATTAACTCTTGACGTATAAATCTGTAGTAAACCAGCGGAAGGATAAATAAGAAACTTCCTGATAAACGATCGCTTGCCTTTAACAACTATGGCTGTTAATTTTTAATTGAAATTAACTTTACGATGAGTGATCAGTCTTTCGTGCGTGCTTTAAATAAATGACTACACAAATACATAAATATATACATATACACGTAATAATGCAATAAGGAGCTGCTATTTTATAAGCAACGTTTATATTTTATAACGTAGTTGTTTAAAACAATCGTCCGAGCACTGCGCCGTGGCCGAGGTAATAAAATATTTATGCGAAATACTCCTCGATTGTTATAAGTTAACGTTAGGTCCCATTTTAAATTTAATTCAAAATGTATCCCTAGTAGCGCAAGATGTTTGTAAGAATTTTAATAATAAATAAGAAATCCTTGGCAATTTCTGAGGACTCCGACCAGCCGACCCAGGAAGATAACCTGCCGAGTGTTAATGCTTATTAAGAATCTCCTGAAAGAATATTCAATCCTCATTATTTATCCTCAAGTTTAATCATCGCCAAATGTACTTACGTAATTGTTTATAGCACGTAAGGCACGACCAGCAATGAAATTATCATTGTCCTCGGGTTTTTTACGACCGCTCATTATTGTTGGAAAAATGGACCTCGAGCGAACGAAAAGCGAGGCGAAGGACTGCAAAAGGAAGGCCAAAAAGGCCAAAGAAGCAAGTACGCTTATAGGGTCGAATGTCCTAAATCGTAGTATAAAGAAAAAAAAAAAAAACAATAATATTCCGTTAGCAAATGAAAGTGGAAGGGGTGCAATTATCGAGAGTAATGAATTACTTTAAAAAGCACATTCTCGGAGATTTTGTTTCTGATCTGGGCTGTTAAAAAATTTCTTCAAAAAATTCAAATTTTCAATGGGTCAGGACAATTCTTAGACGATCAAGAGCGATGTGCAAAAGTTTCGGACAGTTTGGTCTAATACCCTTAAAAGAAAAGTGTCGTATTCGAATCGACTGATTTGAAGGGGGTTTCACTTCACCTTAAGCTCCCGAGAATTGAGAAAAAACACTACTCACGGATAATAAGCCGGGGTGAAAGAAGTCCCGCCATAATGGCTCCTCGCCACGCGATTTTCCGCCCTTTTTTCCGAATATTCAGGGGAATAAACCTGGTCGGACCTATCAGGGTTTACCGAAGGTAACCTGAATCTTCCCATTAAATGGCAGAACACCGTGGAATCTCCACACGGGGCCAATTTACGGACAGCCCCGAATATCTGATAGATCGGATAAGCGCCGCCATTTTGAATTCTCCTCATCGCCCTATCGGAGTATAATTTCTCCTCAACTTGTCCAACTGTTATTTCTATCAAGATAAATATAATCAGGACTCTCCAGGGCATTTTCCTCAACCGATTAATTATTAACGATTGCCTTTAGCCGTGATCCCGTGGAAAATAATAATTCGGGGAAACTCGATGAAAACTTAGCGGAACAAAATGGCGCGTCAAAGTGCGCAAATTAATCGGGATTAATCCTTTAACGGCCTGATAACGGTCGAAATGAATGGATACTTCTGTAAATCTATCTCTCGGATCTTCCCTTTATAGCCAACGGGAATGGGAATTTATTCTGGACTACTTATTCTTCAAGAAATAAGGCCGAAGATCGCAAGTGCGTTTACTGTAACTACGATCGTTTCTCCACTTTTCCTCAATTTGCGTGCCAAGTCCGTGACGAATTCCCTAACCGGAAATTGTTCCCCACGATACGGTTAATAACCCTCCAATTTGCGGATTAATTCGCTTAATTTTACTTTCTGAAAGAATTTTCATGCGAAAACAAGCCCCAATTATCACGGTATAGAGTATTCACCGCCCATGATTAAAATCATATATTTGGCGGGTGTAGAGGTCACGATTCCGTCCACCAATCAGCGAGCGCCGTTTCCCGGCGACCAATCAGAGCGTGGGGCGGTTTCCGCGACCAATCAGAGCGCAGAGCGCGAACCGGCGGGATTTACGTATTTACAAAAGTGCTAAAAGACGTTTATAACGTAGCGGATGCCATACATCTGCGACATCTTCAACGGGAAAGTATGTATCCAGCCCTGTTCAGATACGTTTACGAGCGCCCGGGCGATTGAGCGCGGGCGCTCGTAAACGCATAACCGGTCCTCTTTGTGCGTTTCCAGTTAGTCGAATCCCGAATTCGTTGGAGGGTGTTGGAGGGTTACTAATCGTCGTTGTCCCTGCGGACGAAAGGAGAGAAAATGGCGGACGATTTCCCATGTCGCGTGGAATATTCGAAGAGCTCCAGGGCGTCTTATCAAGCTTGCAAAAACCAAATCGCGAAGGAAACCCTGAGACTAGCCGTGATCGTTCAGGTGCGCAAATCTCCATCCCTGCCTTTTAACTCGAATTCTACGATGCATTCTTTCTGACTAATACAGTTCATTTTTTTTTAAATTGCACTTTCAGTAATTGGCATATTGTTCCTGAGATATATTGTGTCGAAAGGAATCGCAGGAACGATAGGTATTTTTCTTTTATGTTGCTCAGAAAAATCGTTAATCAGAAAATGTTCGCTTTAAGAGATCAAATTGCTACGCTGACCAAGCCGCAACAAATTGAGATTCTTGAACATAACGAGCAATACGTTCCTAGCGGAGTATCGAGCGTAAGTATATTAAATAAGAATCTTATTTTTCATAATATGTCGATG